CAGATCGGCTCCATCCTTAGAGTTTAAGCTCTACCCTGCCAAAGATTCGCCCGTCGCCCTGTCACCCGCCCCGCCGCCCGCCGCCCGCCGCCCAGCCGCCGCCCGCCCGCCGCCCGCCGCCCGCCGCCGCCCCCGCCGCCCGCCTGCCCGCCCCCGCCGCCCGCGGCCCGCGGCCCGCCGCCCGCCGCTCGCGCCCGCGGCCCGCCGCCCAGCCGCCCGCCGCCCGCCGCCTCGCCCCCATCCGCAGCCCTAAGGCCATGCCTCCTGCGGCCGTTCCTCACCGGGAGATGCCAGACAGCGAAGTGCGCAGCACGGGCCACTAATGAAGTCGTGGCCGCCCGCCGCCAAACAGGACCATAAGTGAGTCCTCGCGTAGCGAGAGCAATTCCCCGCAGCCTATGACGTGACGCTCGGCGTCGGGCTAGCGGTAGCACGACGAGAGATTCAATATATCCTATGGGCACTTCATGCTCGCAGAACTCCAAACGTGCTGCCCTTCGGCCCTCACCTCGAGCTGTAGTGCGCAGCACGCCTTATATCGATGTTGCTCAAGAGTTGGTGCAACCCAGAATAAAATGTAGTAATACGGAAAGAAAGCAACTTCATCCAGGCTTCATTTTCCCTCTGTATTTTATACAAACCCGTTAATACAGTTAGCACAAACAAACACTTCGACCTATCATAATCATTATTCATCATTGTGGCGGGTGTGTGGGTGTGTAACAGTTTGTCTACAGCCTCAACAGCTCTCAACTTACGAGCAAGAACAAGATGGAGCACAGGTGTCAATATTCTGAAATACGCGATGATACTAAGTTTTCACAACACATTGGCACAATTGAGTGGGATAGACAGATAAGACGAATTTTCTTTCTTGAGATATTATCAATTAAATTAAAACACAATGGTTACCATCCGGTTAACTTATCGGGAGTTGTTGAAAAAATTAATAATTACTGACTCTCCACAACTAAACTATACAATATAAACGTTTCTATACAATTAGAGACTATACGAGCATCTCAAGAAGGAATGTTAATAGTGCTTAAACAATTACAATATAATAAATATGTAATTATATCCAGATATTAGGTTGGTAGTCAATTGTGAAAATAAAGCCGTAAGTTGGAGGACAGAAAGAATATATGAGTACTTCATTACTTCTTGGGGGGTCAATGACTGCCCGATCTCAGATTATGTTTGCGCTGCCCAGCTGTCCCTATCCCTCCGAGAGAAAGAATGCTGTGAGATGGCTACTTCGTTGGGGAGTCTTGCTGGACAGAACCTAATTGTAACACTTTCAAATGAAATAATCTTATCTTTCCCCTTATAGTCACGAAACCTACTCTAGAATTAATTAATTGTTTTTACGTAAATAAGATAAATAAAATTAAATAAAATAAAATTAAATAAATAAAATTAAATAAAATAAATAAATAGATCAGCAGGTTTCATAAAATTCCTTGAAATAGTAAAAAGTTAAAAACTTGAAACAATGCAATGAACTGTGTCTGAATAGGATATATTATCAGATAACTCAAAAAAATCAGAGAGAGAAAATATAACCCCTGACATAAAATAATACTCCAATGATACTTATAATCATTAATTTCTTAACATAACAAGTCACAGTGATCGTTTTTAAGTTATTATTAATTGATAACCCTGAGTTCTGTTGTAATATTTATTCTAGAACTGCTATTATGATATACTCTTATAGATCATTAATATCGTATCCTAGTGACATTATTTAGTACGTCACTGCCCGCCGCCCGCCGCCCTACGACCACGCCCTGCGGCCGTACCTCGCCGGGGGATGGCCGGAGAGGCGAGGGTGCGAGGCACGTGGCCACTAATTGAGTCGTGGCCGCCGCCGCCAACAGGAGCCTAATAGCCTCGCATAGGCGAGCAATTCCGCCGCAGGCAGTGCGGCGCGCAGCACGAGAGAGCCGGGCACTCAGCAAGCAGCAGCTCTGCCCTTCGGGCCCTACAGCCCAGGGCAGCACTGTACCAGTGGTCCAGAATAAATGTAGTAGAAGCAGACATCATCAGCTTCATTTTTCCTTGATTGTTAACAACCCGTTATGCACAGGTTATGCACTACAACACTCGACGTAGTAATCATATTCATCAGGTAACAGTATCAACAGCTCACTACAAGAAATGCACATATAATACATACACATTATTTTACAACACATTGCCAGATGACAATAAACGATTGAATTCAATAAAAAAGTGTAAGTCCCAAGAAAATTATTTTCTGCTGCACAACTAAACTGTACAATATAAACTGTTTCTATACAATTAGAGACTATACCGAGCATCCAAAAGGAATGTTAATTTTAACTATGACATTTAATGTATTATATATCATTTGGTTTGTATAATTGTAAAGAACCTGTAACAAGTATTGTACTTCAGCTTCTGGGTCAATGACTCCCATCTCGATTAGGTTTTCCTGCAGCTTCCCTGATCCTCGAGAAAATGCTGAGATGGCTACTTGTTTGCTTCTGGACATGAATGTAACTTCAAATTAACTTCTCCCCATAGCACGTTACACTCAGTTTTTAATTGTTTTTGACGTAAATAAATAAATAAAATTAAATAAATAAAATTAAATAAATAAAATTAAATAAATAAAATTAAATAAATATATAGATCAGCAGGTTCATAAAATTTCCTTGAAAAGTAAAAGTTAAAAACTGAACTGCTGAACTGTGCTGAAGGAGTACCTCAAAAATCAGAGAGAAATACCGCATATATAACTCCGATACCTATAATCATTATTTCTTCATTGTCACAAAGTGATCGTTTTTATATATGTCCTAGTCGTTTGTGATATTTATTCTGAGACGTGCTGTATACTCTTATAGATCATGTAATATCGTGGATCGCTTGCATATTTGAGACCCCGCGTAAGTTATGGGAGACGTTTTTGTCTAGGTTACAATTTATTCGACCTTAACTTTTCATTGAATTTAAGATCTAAAACAATGATAGATACGAATTTGAATCGAATCTTTAATTCAGTTCGTCTATTTGGTGGTAATTTGTTTTATGTTGCCGGTATTTGGCCAATGAATTTGTTCTGCGTCGTTTTAGTGAGCTCTTACGTCTTTATTCATTACACACGGAACAATATAAATTCGAATTTAAATTGATCAAATTTCAAAAATCCCCTCTCACGAACCATTCAAGAATATTATAAATATTGTTTAACGCTTCCATTGAAAGTTTTAATTTATTATACGGATAATTGTCAGTGGCTAGGATCTAAATGATGAATTTTGTCTATTAACACCTCTGGTTCTATTCATAAGGTGATACATTTGATGCCCAGCTTTGGATGCGTAATTTATTATCTTCTTTTACTCGATGAAAGGTCCTCTTACTTGATGAAAGGTTTGATCGATGATTATAGTATGATTATGCAAATATTGGAAGCTCACTTCCAGGAAAGTCAGTAAATTATCACTGTTAGTCTATAATGTGCTGGTAATACTAATCATGCTATGCTACTATACACTACTATACACTATATACTACTATATACTATACACACTATATACTACTATATAGTACTACTAAGTCTATAATGTGCTGCTAACAGATGCTTTTTATTCACGTTTGTTTCTTTTGTAGAAGAAATTACTTCTGTGTCTGTCTATCGAAACCATGCATATCTCCGCAGGCGCTTCGTTTGAATTGGTTTGACTTTTTCATACGATGGCTAAAGTGTTAGTCGGGTAAAACGAGCAAAATTATAACATTTCATCATTTTCCATCCCCCTAGGACTAGCGACCCTGAAGAATAAAACGTGGATTCAGCATAATGCCGATCACCCAAAAGGAGTCACATATACTTGTCACAGGATAAATGTTACTGAGGCTCGGTAACTGTAGTTGTAGGTTTGCGTGGCCCAAACGGCCAATTCGCAACCAAACAAAAACAAACGTTACCGTTATCAATAATGCGAGAAAGTATCTGCTGTTGTAGCACTATTTCTTGATTAAAAAAATTGTTCTAAAAATAAATCGCTTAAAATTGGGTTATGTATACATTTTTTAAAAATTCAGTAGCTTTCTAGTAATTGTTGCTCTAATTAAAGACAGTTTATAAAAAAATCTCAAAAGCAGATCCAATTTTTTCTTTCATGTTTTTCCTCGGATAGAGCAAAAAGCGCTCAAGAAGCGGAACATTCTTTATTTTCGTTGAATAAATTGTTTCAATGAATTTTCGGAATTTGCAAAAGCTACCCAAAGGGGAGAATGTATGCACTATTATAGAATCACTATAGTTTATTTTTCTTTCTCTTCGGCCAGTTCCTGCCTCATCTTTTTCTGTCTATCAAATTCAGAAATCTCAATCTTCTTTATGCCATCTCGATATATCGGCATTTATATATCGATTCTGTCGAGTCAATATGTGATGTTCTCAGCTCCTGTTGTCAAAGCGACGTGAAAGACACGTTCCTTTTCCTCTCATTACTCCGGAGATTAAGGAAATCCATCTACGTAAAACTCCTCAAAAATAATTCAAAAGCCTTTCAAATCCTATGCGATAGTATCACAAGTTCTTCTCAGTAAAATAAAATCCCTTGGAAATGGCATCAGATAAAATAACAGAAGAAGACCTCTTCTAAAAAATCAGAGGTATAAAATAGTCTTTGTCAACTAAAAACCTCATCTCTTAGTGCAAAATTAAATCGTAAGAAGTCATTTGATCGATTCTCTTACTATTTGACGTTTTCTTGAGTACCAGATTCCCTACCCCTAGTCTTTTATCAGAATTAGATGAATTAAGAGTAAATGCTAGAAACGAGTGTTGTTGACAAAATTTCATAACCATAAATGTGCGTTCCCGTGTAATTGAAACTATTTTGCACTGAAGAGAGCCCTAGGTTTTATATATTTATTACTACAACCGAAATAACGAACTCTTCCCCACTTCTCTCCCATGTAGCAAATTGAGGGCTCAAGAAAACAAGCGCGAATAATAGGTGGATAACTAGGGATTGTAACATTTGCCCAGGCGTAGTGACATTTTACCAATGTTTCTAAGCTTTCCTGGTCTAGCGTGGTAATGGCAAGTACGCGTTACATCTCGACAGCGCTATTCCTTAAATCTGGAGCAGATTTTGAATGAAATTTCGATTGGCCGACGTCGGATGTTTTTGTTTGCAGTGCCGAATTGTTTCAGTCACGTGGTGTCAAACGCAAATGGTCGTAACACAACCGAACACTATTCCGATGGGCACGTCCGATAACATCGGCTGTCGGAAGATGTTTTGTTTCATTCTTTCGATTCCGTTTGCTGTAAATCAGATGTAGAACCAAGGCACTCTGCAATAGCAAGACTATCTGCAATACATGTATACTAGCGTACCGTGCGAGAGCTCACTTATGTTAAACTTTACCTTTTTCTTATCCTACATTGCAGTTTAGAGGAGGGCAGCTGCTAAAGAAAAGAGTTTTATTTGTTTAAAAAAATGTATAAATGTAACTTCCAATGCACATTCCGAAGATAAAATAAAAATAAAAAACACATTTTCAATCAAGTTTTATTCAGTTTATATGCATATTTTCTGGGAACAATTCCCAACAGTTCCTAAAATATTTGAAGTAATTATAAAACTTTCCTTGCGCTTGTCTTGATAGTAAAAAATATTAGGTAAACTTTAAAAAAAGGTATATAAAAATGTCCATGCAAAAATACACGATCGGTCAAGTACAAACCTACTCTTTGTAATATCTGAAATTGAAATTGCAATGCAATGAAGTATCTAGAAGCGCCGAACCAGTAAAAAGATAATATAATGTCCAAGAAGATCTCATTCTTTAGATGAGGTAGTGTAAAGAACGTTTTTTTCAGATTTTTTGCCTCAAAATTTCAGTTTTAATGTCCTATAACACTTGGATTTATAATTATATAGATTGCAACAACGCAGCCAAAATATTGTGGGTTGCATTTGACATGAATATTTAATGTTTTTTAAATCCTTAATATTCTTAAAGCCGAAGTGCACCTTGTTACGTTTCTGTGAAATTCTCTTTCTTTATAGACGTCATTTATAAAGATAGATTGCGTGTGAGAGCCGCAAAACGCATCTATACTAATTAAATAATATAGAAGAGAATGGATTTAAGCATGGTTCTCGCAAATGCTACAAAAAATGAGCTCATGGGAATATCCAAACGATTTTCTTGTGCAACATTATGATGCTTTTCAGATGGAGTAAGTCGGACGATTTCGTTTGCAGTCGCCCGGTCGCAAAGGACCTACATTTGTCTGACAAAGAAGACTATATGTGTCTTCCTGCCGGTAACAATGTAAGCTTACGGGTATGCAGGTTTGTCCTTGGGTCCTTAATCCATCTAGCAGCGTATCATCACATGACATCGGACCACGACTCGTGGGATACGCTTATAAGGTACGACAATAATACACAATACAAATATGAAAAGCGAAACACATCAGGTGTAGAATGAATAAACCTGTTAGAGGTGACAGAGGCCCCATCTGGAGTACGAGTCGTCCGCAGCCGCTGGGGGAAAATGTGGAAAGTACAGCAAACAATTCAGAGAACTCGAGGGATTAATAGACGCAGGGGAATAGACACAGGTACAGTATTTAGTCAAAAAACCAGTGAAAACGTTTTGTGACGTAAGGGGGGTAAAATCTTCTGCGCAAGTTTTCTTGATGTCCACAATCCCTTCGCATCATTTTAACCATAAATAGTTCAAAGATGAGAAAAAGTTAAAGATAAATAAATGAAAATAAAATTTAAAACAGCGCGAGACTATCAATATTTGAAAAAACGAAACATTTTC